CAGGGACCAAACAATGAAATCTGGGCCTCATTCTGGAACTTAGTGTTTGCCTAGGTCCTTGAGGAGGCAGGACAGGTCGTGGTCCCCAGTACCGTCTCCCACTCCTGGTGACTTCCACGCCCCTGTGCTGTGTGCCAAGGCGCAGCCTCCGCCTGCACCGCGCAGGCATTGCCTTCAGTGGCAGACCACAGGGCCGGACCTCCCGGGGCCATTGTTCCCAGCGCAGTGCGCCCATTCCCGCCAGGCTGCAGTGCACTCCAGGACTCTACATCAAGTTGTAACCGGCCAGCACTAGACTCTGGTTGCTGAAGCTCCACAAATAACGTCAGCCAAAATCCTCATTTAAAGCCTCTTCATTTAAAAAGCTTGCTACCATACACACACACACACACACACACACACACACACACTTCTTTGAAGCCCAAATAAGACAAAACTTCTGATCCCAGAAGCCACTGAAACATCCTGCCTTCTTACAACAGCACACATACTTACATAAAGTTTAAGTCTTGTAGCTTGATCTTTAAAAATAGGGTTTTTAATGTGTCTAAGAATTTACACATACTCATTATTACCTTTAATAAAATTTTTATTTTGCCATAATCTTAGAATCAGAGGAAAGTTGCAAAGATACTACAGGAGGGTTTTCCAAGATATCTCTTGTGGAGTCTACCCATCTCACATCTCACGTTAGCATGACACAATTGTGAAAACTCAGAGGGCAACATGGCTACATTGTTCCTAACTGAACTCCAGGCTTCTCTTGGGTTCACTGGTTTCTCCAGTAATGTTTTCATAATGATTGTTAAAATAGTCAGCAGCAAAGGGCAATATGACTTTACAGTGGTGATTCATGAACAATTAAATGACATTCTTGAGAAACTTTTATTAATATCACATTGACTTTAACTATATGTTATTTTCATATTCTGGAGAAATCAGGCCTCAGTAAAGATTTTCTTCACTTAATAGTATCTATGAAATATGATAAGCAACAATGATAATACAGTCACCAGGTAGCTCAAAAATTATAAGACATTTAATTGATTTAACATAGTATTTGTGAAATGTAAAATAAGTGTAAATGAAAGTCACATTAAGACAAAATGTTGTTTAAGTGGTAAAAATAAAAACTGTTGTTCTCTCTAACTGTATAGATATAGCAGAATCTCTAGAATATATTATTGCAAGATTTACTTACTAATATTTGAGCCCAAAAAAGGCCCAGATGATGAAATGTTTATTATAATTGTGATTTTCCATCTTATGGGGCATTTTCATACTGTAAGATGGTCTTGTTCACTGAGAGAGATGCAGGGCTTAGGGGGAGCAGAATCTTCCATAAAAGAGGATGCTCTTGGTTTTGTTGTGCCTGATGAAGAAGAGGAACGGGTGGTCTGTGTTGAATTCCATGGAGGGGAGCAGAATGCGGACACTCACCTCACTCCCAGAGCCACCTGCAGCCTCTGTGCCTTTCTCATTTATTTCCACAAAAGACTTGTGGAAAACATTGGATAGATATAGGTATCTCTCTGCAGACATCCCTGAGAAATCAGCTTTGCTAGGGTTAAAGGCATCACTTATGCCCATACGGCTCAGGGTTGACTTGAGGTCGTAACTCTCTTCCAGCTTGAATTTCGGAAGATACAGCTGCACTTCATAGAGCTCCATCATGTCTTCACTGGTCCACTCATTTAACTTCTCATAGGTGATGGCCTTTTCTAGCTGCGAGTTTGGAACCAAGGGAGAAGAGTCAGTGATTGCAAATTGGAATGAGAAATACTGGTTTAGTGAGATCTGTTAGAAACACATATATCCTAGGTATTACATGGATGACCTATGATCACTTCTATCACCCTGGAGTGAGTCCCTGGGTCATGTAAATGGTTAAGTGTTTGGCTACTAACTGAAAGGCTGGCAGTGTGAATCCACCCCGAGGTGTCTCAGAAGAAAGGCCTGGAGATCTTCTGAAAATCAGCCATTGGAAACCCTGTGGAGTACCATGCTACTGTGACATGCATGTGGTCTCCAGGAGTCGGAATCAACTCGACAGCTACTGGTTTGTTGTTTATTTGTTTTTCATTACTCAGGAGAACATTTGGAAATTCTCTGGTTGTGTAGTGAGATCGTTCACACTGTTGACCTTCAGAGTCTTTATTTTGCAGAGTGATAGTTCTCAGGATATAGGAGAATTAGATCTTGATTAGAAATAAAAGTACTTCTATGATAGTGTGTAAGACATCAACTATATACTCGAATACATCAGTATAAATGATGTTGTCTACACAGAAGTGTATACTTTTAAGGCAAGTCATATGGCCAGACACAAAACAAGCACTAGTTTTGTTAACATAGGAGACGGTTCTATGGAAACAAAATCAGAGATAATGTTTTCTCCCTGTATCATCGCAACTACATGAAAATGGAAAGAGGAAAATACACGAATCTTAAGAGTAATGACTTTCAACGGTGGGCTTCAGACTTTTTTTTCGCTTTTTATATTTGAAATTTTTTAAATAACAACTATATATCTGTATATATGTGTGTGTGTGTGTGTATATGTAAGAGGGGGAAAGTTCAATTTCTTTAATGACAAGTTAGCTTCAAAGCAGGGCGCCCTGGTGGCGTAGTGGTTAAGCCCTCGCTGCTCACTGAAAGGTGGGCAGTTTGAATCAAACAGCCACTCCATGGGAGAAAGATGTGGCAGTCTGCTTCTGTAAAGATTTACAGCCTTGGAAATACTATGGGGCAGTTCTACTCTGTCCTACAGGGTCCAAATGAATTGCAATGGACTCGACGACAGTGGGTAGCTTCAAAGCACATTCTTCTGCCATTTTGAGAGTTTTCTAGTCCCAAACGTTGGCTTCCGATGACGCATCATAGATGTTGTACATCAATAATGTGACAACAGCCTCAGCTCAGGAACCCACACTCCCAGGAAGATGGTCATACCATAAAAAGACACTAAATCTAAGGGTTTGATGTTCACACTTGTCCTTATTTTTACCATCCTCTCCAGTTTTAAAAGTTCTAGGATACAGTGTGGAAATCTTTTCTACACACTAGTAGGGCCAGGGGAACAAGTATTAAGTGTGTAGGTATAGCACATATGAAAATTAGGTACTTTGCAAAAAAGACAGGTCCCCTCTTGCGTGAGAGACTAATGTTCAGGTTAGGCATGAAAAGGGTTCAGAAACAAGGTCTGACCACAGTTCTGTCAGGCTTAACAGAAGTCCGGCAGATAAACAGTACTTGAAAACAGTACTGATACAGACTGTGCCTCATGAAGAGCATTTGAAAAAAACCAAAAAAAAAAAAAACAAATCCATTGTAACCCCACGTGTTACAGAGAAGAACTGCTTCATAGCGATTTCTTGGCTGTAATCTTTACAGAAGCAGATGTTAGACCTTTCTTTGGTGACATCTGGGTGGGTTTGAACTGTTAACCTTTAGGTTAGTAGTGAAGTGCAAACCGTTTGTACCACCCAGGGCCCTGAAGAAGGTTTACTTGTTTAAAAATGTGAAAAAGCTTTGAAAGGAAATTAATGTTTTAAAACTATATATCTAAGGCTAGATTAATGTCAGTGATTAAAGAATTAATCACCGATCGGGTAGGATCTTCAGAGGGAGAAGAACTGGACTGACAAAAGAATTACTATGATCAATCCCCACAGCTTTGCAACTGACAGATAGTATAGATATCTGTTGTATGTGTGAACACTTGGGGCTTGAAGTGTGGATAGATTACTTAAGCTTTCTGAGGAACAATAATACCAACCTTACAGAGTTTTGTAAAGCGTAAATGATATTGTGAATGTAAAGTACCTAGCCTTCAAACTATGATGATTGTCTTCCCCCACGAGAATTGAAGAACAGGGAGACCATGCCCTTAAGTTTTTCCCAGCCAGGTGAACACTAGAACCATCTTCATGGATATCTGTACCTGCTCCAGTCCACTGATGTCTTCTGGCAGCAGTATAAGAAGGCTAATGTCATGGCTCTCATAGTCAAGTTGAAGGCCCTTGGCTTGCGGCTGTTCTATGTGAAATACTGGAAGTTTTTGTTTCATCGACATCATCTGCACTGGTTTACTTGTGGTCTAAAAAAGATAGGTAGCAAAGTCATTGGAAAGACATTCCATCAAATCCTTAATTCCTTATCATCATTGGTTCGCATTTATCTGGGGCACTGGTGAAGTTGGGGACCCTCTGCTGAATGCTGAATACAGTTATCCAGACCTTGCCTTCTGGAAAAATATATTCTACTGGGTAACATTACTAACAAAGGATCTAGGAATTCCTGTCTCTACCACTTTTATGGCAACCTCTATAAATCACATCAAGGTGGATTCTATCAAACACTGAAAAGAATATATAATCTTATGCAAACTATGTAAGGGCCAACGATTCAGAAATTGAGTAAGTTGTATTTCATATTTAAACATTTTAGAAAATATTATAGTATCATAAAAACCGCAATTCAGATGTTGTAGATGTTTTATGTAAGGAGCCCTGGTGGTGCAGTGGTTAAGCCCTCGGTTTGAACCTACCAGCCACTGCTCGGGAGAAAGAGGTGGCAGTCTGCTTCCGTAAAGATTTACAGCCTTGGAAACCCTTTGGGGCAGTTCTACTCTGTCCTATAGGGTTGCTATGAGTTGGAATCGGCTGGATGGCAACAAGTTTTAGACATATTATCCAGCGTATGTGGGGCTCGGTGTCAATCTCAGCCCACCCATCTGCTGAGGTGGTGGCCATTGGACCTGCAGAATCCATTCTGAAAACTCTAGGATGCTGTGATCATCTCAGGGATGAGCACACGGATGGCACCCGCCAGAGCCTTCCTCAGGATCTTTCTGTTAGAGCTAGCGGCACACGCTTTCTCTGTCTATAGAGTGTGAAGCTGAAATACCTGAATATAGTAGCCATATTCTCTGTTCCTAAGGATAAATTCCATCTTTAGTAGCAGAAAACGAAAGCAACACACAAAGGGAGCTAAGAGAGAGAGTGAGAGCAAGAACTGAGGTGATGCTTTGAGAGTCGAGAAATCTGGCTCCTGGACTCCCCTGTTCCTCTTAGCTACACGTGCTAATATAGTTCCTCACTTCGCTAGAGCTAGTTTGCTTTTCTGTCACTTGCAGCTGAAAATTCCTGACGAATATACTAAGCCAGATACATATCCAGCTCATTTCTAGTTAACCAGGTGTGCTCACACCTATTGGATTATATGACCAGGTCCTTCTCCTCACTTACCCCACTGATGTTCTGAGAACTGCCTATTGTGGACAGACAAACAACTACAGCGTTAGTTCCTCTGCACACTGTTTATAAAATATGAGCCACCCTGGACTAAACAACCGTCACAAACAAACTTCGGCCAACCAGTTCCTTTCCTGGGGTTTGCAATGGGATCTATCAGAATCCGACCTTAGCTAGACTGGTCTACAGCAGGGAGGAGGTGCTGTGAGATTCTGTCCTTGTCAAATGGGAGCAGAGAAAGTTAGACGTTAGCCTGAGAGAAGAATGATGAGAGAAACAGTTGAAAAGATGAAGAAAGAAGCCTGACATTTGAATCCGTGTTTCCACCATGCCCTGAGACCAAGCCACTTCCCAGCCCTTGGATTCCATGAGATGTGTCTATAACCTTATATTCATCCCTCTCCTTTTTGCTCTGGTGGACTCCCGTTACTCATTACAGGAACAAGTGTGTTGTGTTCTAACACACAGAGAAATCGTAATGAAAATGTTGAGATTTAAGATTTTTCATTTCTTTTACATATGCAGTGGAAGAGTTTGGTAGAAGATAGTATTGGTTTGGCAGAACGAGAACAGAACTAATAGTGAGAGACTGGGTTCCGGTTCAGGTCTTCTTCTAACTCCTGCGGGGCCTCTGTGGTCATTCGGCCACCTTGTAGCTCTCACCCAGGAAACCAACTCAATGACTACCCTACCCAGCTCGCATGGTTGTAGCTGGGCTGAGTGATAGCATCTGTGGGTAGTCTATATTCAGAGAGAAACGATGAAAGGGGAGTTTACAGGTGGAAGGACCCAGGGGATTTCAGCTCAGCCATCTTTTCCCTAGTACAAGCCAAAGTTCATAAGAATTGATTTCAGAAGTGGATTTAAAATAGAATTCCCTTTACAATGCCACATAAAAGTCCATACTGGTCCTTAATAGGCACCTACCGTGTTTATTCTGAAAGGCTTTTCTGTGGTGTTTTCAGATGAGAATGGATGCTCCCACGTCCCTTTAAAGTAAAGGGCATTCACCAGAACCATCTTGGTTGTAGATGTCACAGAGTCCTCAGGTAGAAGATTCAGGATTTTACCTACAAGAGCAAAAGGACAAGTTTCAAATGGCTGGGTGGCAAGATGTGTGTTTTAATTAAAGAAAACTTGATTTTCATTTTTTCTGAACCATACAATTTTTCTAAAAAGTTCTGGGCTCAGATTTTCCAGAAATGAAATATTTAAAAATGAAATAATTTACGTAATATTCCTGTCCAGAACAGCTATGAGTAAAGAAGAAAACACTGGAGAAATAACATGTTGAATGGTTGATAACCATTATTCCATATTAATTACAAATTTGAGTCTTAAATGTAAAAACTTCCTTCTAGCATGAGTTGTTCTGTATCTTTTTTTGAGGGAACTAAAATGTTTCCTTCTTTCACTTCTGCTTGCAGCCATAAACTGTAAGCTGCTCTGATAAGCTTCTGAAATGTATGTCAATATTTCCTGTTGCCCAAAATTCTGCTTTGGGCAATTGCATCTTTCAGAGAGCTCTAGTGCCTGTTTAAGCTGATATTTGACTCCAACACATTCTTTACAAACTCCCCACTAAAGCACCTTGATGTTTGTAAATCGATTTATAAGGAGATCTCAAATCAGGTATTAGAGACAACATGTTTGATATCTATGAGGTAGATAGAACTGGACTGAGAAAACCTCCAGCCAATCCAGCTTCACCCCCAAAATAGAGACCACCTGAAATAAAGGGCTGATCTTTTAAGATGCCAAAATACACACATGGAAGAGATTTAAAAATTATAAGGGATAACTTTTAGTACTTAATCCAAAAAACTGATATGGAAGATTCTCCAGGAAAATATTAATAGAAACTCAAGAGTTAGTAGGAAACTTTAAAAAGTTGTCAAACCTGATTGAAATTTAAAAACTGTCAAAGAATTACCTTCTCTGAAAACAGTGCCTACTCCAGACATCTAGAGGATGAAATCTTTTAAACCTCCCAGTAATAGATAATGCCTACACTATTCAAACAGCTCCAGAGAATAAAATAGAAAGACACTAGGTTACTTTTGTCAAGCTAGCATAATCCCAGTATGAAAACATGACAAAGAAGGCACAAAATCTCCACCTATAGACCGATCTCTTTTAAGGATATACACAAGAAAATCTTACATTGAATATTAGCAAATCAATCTCATTAATATGATGCCAGGAGTGAAAGAAACATATACTATTAGGAAATCTAGCCCTGGTGGTGCAATGGTTAAGTGCTCAGCTGCTAACTGGAAAGTTGCCAGTTCGAACATACCCAGCTGCACCATGGGAGAAAGACCTGGTGATCTGTTCCCATAAAGATTACAGCCTAGAAAACTATGGAGAAGCACTACTCTGTAACACACGGGGTTGCTATGAGTCGAAAATCAACTTGACCACATCTTACAACAATAATAACAACGTTAATATAATTAAGGGTCCCTGGCTGGTGCAAATGGTTTGTGGTCAACTACTAACCAAAAGGTTTGTGGTTCAAACCCACCCTGAGGTGCCGTGGAGGAAAGGCCCGGTGATCTGCTCTCATAAAGATTGTTGTTGTTAGGTGTCACCGAGTTGGTTCCAACTCATAGCGACCCCATGTATAACTGAAGGAAATTTTGCCTGGTCCTGTGCCATCCTCACAATAGTAGGTAGGTTTCAGCCCAGAAAGATTACAGCCAAGAAAATCCCATGGAGCAGTTCTACTCTGTAATACAATGCTATTGCCATGAGTTGGAATCAACTCCATGGCAATGGGTTTGGTTTGGATTTATTACTATAATTTATTGTTTTGTTGGGTCAGAGTGGCAAAAATACTTTGATTTATTCTGGCATCCATCATTACTTTAAAAAGTAAGTCTTCATAAGCTAAAATAGAAGGTTACTTCCTTAATATGCAAAAGAATATTTTTCTCAAAGAAACTTCCATAATGTTAACCATGAAGCACTAGTGGTATTCTTGGTAAAGTCAGGAAAACTCACATGTCTCTATCAACATAGTTATTTAACACTTTTCTCAACATGCTAGGTAATGTATTAAAGTAAAAAAAATGAATAAATAAAAGGGACATAACTGCATAAAAGAAAGGGAAAAAATTATCATTATTAGCAGATCAAATGAAAAGCCAGGAGAATCAACTGAAAAGCAACAAAAACTAATAAGAAAGTTCTTTTAGGTATTGAGTTACACTATTATACTAAATTCAATTCTTGTATTCCAACCATAAACAATTAGAAAATGGTATAGCTGTACCCTGGTGATACGCAACATGTATAAAAAAAGGGGATGAAATACCATTAGTATGATAACATCTTACATCCACAGTGCCATGATCAAAACCAAGAAGTTAACATTGATAGAGTACTATTAACTGCTCTTATTCAGATTTAACCAGTTGTCCCACTAACGTCCTTTTCCTGGGCCAGGACTCTAATATTGCACACTGCATTTGGTTGTCATTTCTCCATAATGTCCACTAAACTAGGACAGTTCTTTATTCATTTCTTGTCTTTCAGGACCTTGACACTTCGAAAAAGAAGTGTTTTGTAGAATGCCCTCAATTAAGTCTTCTCCTGATATGTCCTCCAGATTGTGTTCAAGTGAGAATATCACAGGCATGATGTGTGTCCTTCTAAGTGAGTCACAACAGGAACAACATGATGTTCCTAAGTCCCACTGCTGGTGGTGTTAACTTGGATCACTTGATTGGTGGTATCTGCCAGTTTACTCTCGCGTAGAATTACTATTTTTCCCTTTGCAGTTCATAGGTATCATGTGAGGAGACACTTTGAGACTATGCAAGTATCTTGTTTCTCAATAAACTTTTGCCCACCAATTTTAGCACTCATTGATGATTCTTGCCTGCAATAGTTATTGTTGTGGTGTTTATGAAACGGTGATTTTTTTTATTTCCTCATTCCTTCCACATTTATTAAGATTCTATTGTGAAGACTGTATGACTAGACTTTATGAAGAAGAATACAGCTTTAGGAAGATTCATTAACAATCTGCGATATGCAGATGACACAACTTTGCTTGTGGAAAGCAAAGAGGACTTGAAGCACTTACTGATGAAGATCAAAGACTACGGCCTTCAGTATGGATTACACCTTAACGAAAAGAAAACAAAACTCTCGCAACTGACCAATAAGCAACATCATGATAAATGGAAAAAATATTGAAATTGTCAAGGATTTCATTTTACTTGGATCCACAATCAATGCCCATGGAAGCAGCAGTGAAGAAATTAAACGACACATTGCATTGGGCAAATCTGCTGCAAATGACCTCTTTAAAGTGTTGAAAAGCAAAGATGTCACTTTGACAACTAAGGTGCACGTGACCCAAGCCATGTTATTTTCAGTTGCCTCATATGCATGCAAAAGCTGGACAATGAATAAGAACCGAAGAAGAACTGATGCCTTCAAATTACGGGGATGTAGAAGAATATTGAATATACCATGGACTGCCAGAAGAATGAACAAACATGTCTTGAAAGAAGTATAGCTAGAATGCTTCTTAGAAGCAAGGATGGCAAGACTTCATTTTACATACTGTGATGGTTAAGATTGTGTGTCAACTTGGCTGCGCCATGATTCTCAATGTTTTAACGTAATCACTCCCATGATTGAATATACTGTGAGTAGCCACTCAGATGAAAGGGAGTGTCCTTGGGGGTGTGGCCTGCATCTGTATATAAACAGACATTCTGGCTTTTTGCTCTCTCTGGATCCTGTGGCTGCTTCCTGTCATCTCATCTCCCGTTCTTGGGACTTGAGATGTCAGCTTATCTGCCGAACTTGGGATTCGTTGATCTGCACAGCCTGTGAGCGGGAGCCCTGCTCTCCAACCTGCCTATCTTGGGCTTGCTGGCTTCTGCAGCTGTGTGACTTGGGAGAGGCCTCTACCCTGATCCACGGACTTGGGACTTTCTAGCCTCTACAATCACGTGAGCTGTTTCCTTGATATAATCTCTCTCTATATATACATTTATACACTTTACTGGTTTTGCTTCTCTAGAGAACCCAGCCTAAGACACATACTTTGGACATATCAGGAGGGACCAATTCCTGGAGAAGAACAACATGCTTGGTAAAGTAGAGGGTCAGTGAAAAAGAGGAAGACCTTCAATGAGACGGAGTGACACAGTGGCTGCAACAATGGGTTCAAACATAGCAATGATTTTGAGGATGGTGCAGGACCAGGCAGTGTTTCATTCTGTTGAACACAGGGTCACTAAGAGTCGGAACCCACTGGACGGCAACTAACAACAACCACATTATAAGGAAGGACTTTCCTTCTGCTTGAATTATTAAATTCAATTATTTATTTATATCAGTATGTACTCCTGAATACTGTTTTATTCTACAGGTTACAATTAACTACTATTATCGTTTATTTTTTTGCTCAGATTGTTCCAGATTTGGTCATTGTTAGCCTCCTCGTGTTTACTTCTGTGTCCTTTCGACCTGTTCCCAACAATTTTCGAGCAGTTCCATACCTTCTCACAGGATATTCTAGGCTCACCTGTATTTTCCCTGCCCTCGCCCTAAAATTGCCATTTCTCCTAGGAGACCTCCTTCCTTTTATTTGTTGTTGTTGTGTGCCCTGGAGTTAATTCTGACTCATAGTGACCCTGTAGGACAGAGTAGAACTGCCCCACAGGGTTTCCAAGGCTGTAAATCCTTATGGAAGCAGACTGCCACATCTTTCTCCTATGGAACGGTTGGTGGGTTCAAACTGCCAACCTTTCGGTTAGCAGTTGAATGTTTAAACCACTGCACCACCAGGGCTTTCTCCTTTTATTTAGGAGGATGAAATTTAGAAATCAAGAGTTAGAAGCTAGATATGGTAATTGCTACTAGGCCCTATCAGCAGAGAGAGCTAAGAAGTACATGTGTGTATACATACATGGGTATCTATTTATCTGTCTATTTTATGGCATATATATCAAAGACTAGGTGTCATATTGATATCCCCAATTCCAATCCAGCACCACAGGGTTCATCTTAGCCTTTATTTGTAATTCCTTTCTCGAAAGGTGAGGAACCTGTCATTATTCACAATAAATTTCTGGTTTGCTCAATCCTAGAACACACTCAGTTTCAGAATTGCTAACCAATTGTCTTGTGAAAAACAAATTTACAGACTAGGGTGCAATATTTGTGTGTAGTTCTTTTTGTCCTTCGTCTTAAGGTATATGGTCAAAATTTCCTTTTCCAAAGTTACTTAATTCACTCCAAAACAAATATTTGTTAAAAAGAATAAACCTAAGACAGCACTGTAAAGAGCAGATGTCACCAAAGGACTGGATAATTTGAGGAATTCCTAAAAAGAAAACGAAGAAGCATCAGACTGAGAAAGGAAACCACAGCACAAAACGGGAATCAGAGATGACTGTAAGGAGGCTGGGATGCCCAGGGAGTCTCAAGCTCAAAGTCTATGCACACATGGAGCTTGTTGGGAGAGGGGGAAGGAGGGAGTGAGATTAAGTGAATAATTCCACTCATAGCAGTGACCCTTAACCTTGTTTGCAACTTAGAATCACCCAAGGACTTAAAATATACTGATGCCTGAGCCCCATCCCCGGAGATTTAAATTAATTCATCTGGGGTTGGGCTTAGACATCATTAAATTCAATTTAATCACAGCCAGGATTGAGAACTATTGGTTTTAAGCAGGCTGTTGGGTCTACTGACCTTTTTATTTATTTATTTATTTATAATATTTTATTGCA